GAAATTGTTAAAGCATTTGTTTTCTCAAGTTGCTGGCATGAAATAAGATGAGATTTTGGTAAGGTATCTTCTTTAAGAACACCAATCAATAAATGAGCAATATACTTTCCTGAGGAATCAGTGGTTTCGTCTACAGATATGTAAAAATAATTATCTGCAATTTCTTTCTCAATATTAATTAACACCGACGAGTATAGCCCGTTCACATTATTTCTTCTTAGAGACCGATCACTTGGAACATTAAGTTTGCAATATTTTTTTAGAAACGAACTAAAATTTACATTTGCAAATTTTGAAAGCGGTATGTTTGCAGACACTAATGCGCGACACAAGTCTTCATTAAAAGTTTCTTGCTCATCTAATTTTTTTGAAGTAGATTGGAAACATTTAGCCATTGAAGTTTGATGTTTTCCTCCTATTTTTCCTTTTTTTGCAATGTGTGAAGCAGTTCTCACATGTTGGTCTGTCTGAAATTTCTTTTCACATGCTATCTATAAATAAAAATAAAAACCTTTATTTTAACCCAACCTTTAAAATATAAAAATATACAAGGTGTTTTTGGTTAATCAAATAACTGGTTTGGAAAAAAAAACACTCGCTAAGTGTTTTAAATGCAGTATTAATCCACAAATTAGTTTTTGTTACTAATCATTAGCACATCATATAACTTATTTTAAAATTAGTAAAGTATTTTAGTTTAAGTAATTTTAGTAGTAAAGTTCAATTTTTCGAGAAGTATCTACAGTCAAACGTTGTAAGTGTCATTTGGAAACACCCTGTATGTATGAAATATTAGATCTTTAATAGAAAATATTAGATACTTACAATTTTGCCACAGACTGAACAGTAGATTTTTCCCATATCCATAGACAGCTCTTTATAAGGTTTAATCCAAGTTGAAGCACTGGTTGTTTTAGGCATTTTAAAATCGCAATCTTCCTTTTTGTTACGCACAACGAGTGTTTACGCTTTGAATATCAAAACAAAAATGATTTACAAATCTGAGCATCAAATTAGAAATGTTTAGGTACCTAATTCAATAAACTGGGAGATTTTGGAAAATCCCTAAATTAGGAACCAAACTATTAGCCGTTTACCTGCTGTTAAGATACAATAAATTGTAGATAGATTTGGGGATTAGATCATAAAATGCAAATGAGCGAACCCTTAGCGATTATCCAATAACTGAATGCCTCAGTGACCGAGACTTTCTAAGAATGTTGAGGGCTACTTAAATTGATCTTCTTTGAAATTGTAAATGTTTTGTACCTGTAGAGATTACGTACTTAGATCATTTGTTGATTAAAATGACTACAAAATTTTATACAAGAATTGAAATAAATTGGTATGTTTAAAAATTTTCAAATACAGTATAAAAATCTGAACTTTTATGCACTTTATGCAAACTTTTATACAAATATGCCAAAATATGAAATATTTGCATAAAATATGCACGATATGCAAAATATGCAATATGCATATTTGCCGAAGTCTAGGTATAACCTTCTACACCTCATAATACAGGGTAAGATCGACGGAAGGAGAGGCCCCGGCCGACGAAGAACATCCTGGCTACGAAATCTCCAAGAATGATATCAAGAAACCACTGCTAATTTATTTAGAGCCACCGTGAATAAGGTTATTATTGCCAATATGATCGCCAACGTTCGATAATCAAACAGGACACTGAAAGAAGAAAGAATATGTAGTTAATATTTCTCATAGTATTAATTACCCGTATCGTTTCAAAAACAAAATATAATTGACTCATAGGTTGAAATGTCAGTAATTCAGATTTCTTTGTTTAGATGGCGTTTTAATTTTAAATCTAAACTAACATAAAGCTTTAAATTCTTTTGTACTAAATTCTGACTTAAAAATATTATTAATATTATGTATCATTTAAAATAATATGTAATTAATCCAGTATTATTAATTAAACGTGTCGTTTAAAGAATAAAATATGATTGAAATGTCAAATGATGGTAGTTCAGATCTTTTTCCTTGATGGCGTCGTTAACTTACTGGACAAATGGTATGACATGTCATCATAGCCTTTTATATAGATAGATTTTTGATTGAAGCCCAATAAGAAAGAGACTGACCACGAAGATTATGGGGAGATAAAGTGGACGAGGCTCTGGAAAAATGAGACAATTTTTGTTCGAGCTGAAAAATTCAGGAAATTTAGATTTTGCACTTACGAAACACAAATGTACCGAGGCAAAAATTGATATTACTGCCAGGTGTACCTCTAAAAGGAAATAACAGATATCCACCTTAAGGCGGACTTGTGCAGTAACAATGCACCAATGCATTAAGGTAACATCATTTAATTTTTTTTTATCAAACTAAGCAAATAAAAACATATCGAAATTATTGTTTAATATGAAAATCGTAAAAACATGTTTTTGTGGTTAAATTACATAAAGATAAATTGCATTTTATATAATATGCTTGGGTTTCGGATGTGTATTTTGGAAATTTGCACTGTTTTTTACCAGCAGAATCCCGAAATTCACCAGTGGCCTATTTGATCGAAACGGATGTCCTCCGTCAGAAGATATGCTCTCTTTGGTGCTCTTAGTGGCTTTACGTGAACAACTGAAAGGTCGGCCAATAGGTCGTTTGACTGGAGCCATAACATACAAGCAGACCGATTCAGCTACTTGTGTTGTGAATCCTGTGATACAGTAGGTAAGCGTTGATCACCGCCACATCTATGAGGTGGTAAACAATACAATTATTCTATTTTCTGGTATTCATATGATGCAATACCGACCTTATAGTCAATCCATCAAATCAACACCTTCTATATGCTGATTATATTCTTTGATGATCTGTGGGCAATTTATTTCATCGTGAACTCTTTTTTTCTGTCCCATTGTCTAATTTTTTGGGACTGTACGTTATATTTTTTTTAGATACAAATGGTTTAACGCCAATATAATCCGACAAAAGTCGCATATATTTTGTATCGTTCCGCAGTACAGAGGTAATATCTATACCATATGCGTTACCAACAAATTCTTCTGAATAGCCATCTGCCAATCTGCGTCGATCGATAATTTGCAATTGGATACTCTGTTTCTTCTCACTGTTCCCAAGCTGTATATTCGTTTACTTCAGAGATGGGTAAGTACGCTCAGAAACGTATAGAAATTGTCAAAGTATACAACATTTAAGGCAGCCCCAAGATCTAGAGTGTCGTTCAAGATTATGTTGTCTTCTGCACCAGTGTAAATTTCGAATAAACACGAAAATCCAAAAGAATCACAAAGGCAAAAAAATTTGAAGCCCCACTTATGTGACTTGTTGGGCATATATTGTCGGAAGTCACTTCTAGTGATCTTTGTAGCACACATTTGTTCATCTACGCACAACCTAGAAGGCATAGGGACTAATAGAAATCTGTCACTGAAATGTTTCACTAGTCGACGAACTTTATGCAGAGGATCGTATTCAATGATATCCCTTTCCACAGTTACTAAAGTTGTCATTATAGTGTAGGTCCCAGCGTATAGATTCAAACCGAAGCAAAGGCATAGTCTGACAAATTGACTCAAACGAGTATTTTCCTCAATATAATCGGACATTCGGATAGCGATAAATAGACATATATAGAAGAATGCCAACTAATTTACGAATATCGTCGGACTGGATGCTGAATTTTATTTGTACATCATTTTGCCGAGCGTACAAGTTTGTTTACTTCACTAGATGATCAACCATTGTGTCGTCAAGAAAATAAAGAAAACTTTCGTATGGAGTGGTTAATTTCTTAATTTTTTTGGAAACTGCTTTTGGTCTCTGAATACCACCTCATTTACATAAAGTTAAAGGTGTTTACTTTCTCAAATAATAGATTTAAATTCGCTAGAGTCATTTTTCAGAGTCATTCTAAACAACTCGAGATTCAATTAAAAAAGGTTGTCCACACTTTACTTTTACTTTTTTGTGTCTGAATCCGACTACAGTTTTTCTGCCCAATATCGAGCTATTTCTACACCCTTTGTATTTGCTATCGAGGGTGCACTGTGATGGGTAAAGTCTGCATACTCTCAGGTGCTTCACGTTCTGTATTTCCCCACATTCACAAAGTGCGTCGCTATCTGTCTTGATGCCCCATTTAATGAGGTTCTGTTTTACAGGGGCAACACCTATACGTATGCAGTTGAGTGTCCGCCAGGTTCTCCAGTCCAGGTTCATTCCATTAGTTCATTCTGAATGTAGGAGGAACAGTTCTGGTGGTTCGACGCTGACATTTCTCATAAACCTTTTCCTTGATTTAAGTCGGCTGATTCCTGGCGGTTCGTCAAACTCGTATAATTGGTGCCTTTCATCGTTTGCCTAAACTTCTCCACATATTGTGAGACGCATCTACAGTATTCATACGGCATCATACCACCAGTTCAAGATCAAGAGAACGATCACGAACTGAATGGTCCGACCAAATTAAGAATTCAGCTGGAAGTTCATTCTGCGAAGGTCTCAGGCCAGCTGAGGATAGAAACCAATGGAGAAAAATTGTCAGGAATAGTGGAAGATATATTGAGAAATGGACAAAAATTATAGGTAGACTAATTAAAAGATTACTGAGTAATGTGTATGTTTTTTAAAAGTTAGAATCTATCATGTGATATGTTCCTCACTGCAATCATGGAGTGGAGAACTCATGGGAAGGTCTTTGTCCTGAAGTGGATGTAAACAGGCTGAAGGAAAAAATGAAGGGAAGAGCATTACAATAAAAAGAGAAAGATTTTTTTAACTATTATTACCAAAAATTAAAAAAAAAATGTATTTAGATTTAACTGATTTTTTAAAGACAGTTTTTTCATTGCAGACCTGTATTATTTTTTGCAATGTTTTTGTACAATGTACATAATTTGTTTAATTAGCATGTTAGTAATTATACATTTGGTTTAACCCAGCACTTTATTATTCATAGAATGCAAATAAATAATTTAAAAAAAAAGTATAAGTACTAAGAATTATCCCTTGTTTATATTAGAACATTTAATTACCTAAGTAAAATGTTACCGTTCGTATGCATAGCAGTTTTTATCGCGACAGTCTCCGCTGTCGACTTTCAATTCATAAATAAGGAAGGTGGTCCAGTATGGGTTGGAATCCAAGGAAATCCTGGTCATCCGCATTTGGCAGGTGGTGGTTTCAAACTGGGTCAAGGTCAATCGGTAAGCCTTTTGATTTTGTTTTATAAATTTAATAATTTTTTCAGTTACGGTCTTTATTTTTTTAATTTAAGTAGTAATTTAGAGTAAAATAGAGTTAGATATAAAAAACATCCTTGTCTCAATCCTTTTGTGACAGGAAATGCGTCTGAAACTATATTCTCTATTTTACCGGCACTTTTTGCATGTGTGTACATGTTCGACATAGCCTTGATGTATGTATTACTTAGGTCTGCTTTTGCTAATATTTCAAATATTTTTTTTAAGTAGGGTAGAGTGTTGTACCTGATGGCAAATTTCATGTCGTTTGGCTCAAAATATTTGAAAATGGCTTTATAGCGACCATTGAAGCATACAGAAGAAGATATAACCTTTATCTATAAATGACAAAGTATAAGTCTATGGATTCGTTTTAGTTACTTTAAAAACAAATTGACAGGTCGTCCAAAGGTACGATACTGTGTTGTACCTTTGTCCACAATATGTTGTACCTGTGGTCAGAGAACGAATTACCTTCGATTAATAAGAAACACTGTTTCGGTAATTCGGTTATTACTGAAACAGTGAATAAAAGCCTTCTGCAACTGAAAAACCCAAAAACAGCATACAATGAATTAGACAAAGAAATATTACAACAAATAGAAAGAAGGAAAATCTTAAATAAATCTAACAAGAGGGGAACCGACGAATATTAAGAAATTAATAGGCAGATTAAAAAAAGAATCAGACAACAAAAAAGAAAAGAAAACGAAAACAACTATTGAAAAAAAAATAAGAGTATGAAATGCCTCAGACCGACACTAGGACGACGTCAGATGATATCATTAATGGGAAAAGACGAAAATAACATCACAACTAGAGAAAACATACTGACACGAATAGAAGAATTTTACATAGAACTTTACAGAACACATCAACAAGATGATGAGATGAGACCAGCACGGAAATTAATAAAAAATGTTGGATCAGAAATAATGCCAAGAGTAACAATTTCAGAGGTAACTGCAGCATTGGAAAACATGAAGAGAAATAAAGCTGCTGGAGAAGATAGTATTACCACAGATATGATATTAGAAGGAGGTAAGGAACTAATTGCAATTGTAACTAAGCTTGTGGACAGTTGTTTACATTAGGGCAAAGTCCCTAAGAGCTGGAACAACTCTTAAATAATTTTATTACACAAGAAAGGTGAGAGTCAAAAATTGGAAAACTACAGACCCATCAGACCCATCAGCCTACTGTTACACTGTTTAAAATACTCACCAAAGTCACAACTACTCGACTAACAAGGAAATTGGACGAATACCAGCCATATGAACAGGCAGGTTTTAGAAAAGGCTATTCAACTTCCGATCACCTGTTAACCACAAAAATATTAATAGGAAAATGTAACGAATACAAGTTTCCATTTTTCCAGAATAGACAGCAGATATATTAATTTAATAAAAGAAACTATGAACCAAGCTACAGCTACATACTACCTAAATAAAAATGAACACACGAACCCTGTACCATTAAACAGGGGAGTCAAACAGGGAGATACTTTATCACCCAAACTGTTCACCTTAGTTTTGGTGGACGTTTTTAAAAACCTAAATTGGAAATATAAGGGAATAAACATCAATGGCCGCTACCTCAGTAATCTACGATTTGGAGGTGACATAATCCTGATAGCTACTGACCCACAAGAAATGCAAACCATGCTTTTAGAACTACATACCGAATCTTCTAAAATAGGACTGAAAATGAATTTAAACAAAACAAAAGTCATGCACTCCGAAGACACCGTGACAATAATAAACAATAAAGTTATAGAAAAAGTTGAAGAATATATATATATATATATATATATATATATATATATATATATATATATATATACTTAGGACAAAAAATTAAGAAATAAAAAGAAGAAGAAAGTTAGCTTGGGCAGCATTCGCTAAACTGAACTATATACTCAGAAATCAACAAATTCAATTATATCTTAGATCTAAAGTTTTTGATGCATGCATTATTCCGATATTAACTTATGCGGCACAAACATGGACAATCACAAAAAAGAATATGAATATACTTAGAGTCACTCAACACGCGATGATATCACTTAAGGACAAGAAAACAAACACATGGATAAGACAGAAAACCAAAGTCACCGATGTGGTGCAAAAATCATTAAAGTTGAAATCTGAATACGCTGGACATGTAGCTAGGAGCCATCTAAACAAATGGCACAGATCAATTTTAACCTAGAGACCATACCAACACAAAAGACCCAGAGGCAGACCTCCTATGAGATGGACAGATGATCTGAAAAGGACTGCCGGTCCTTGCCTACAAGAAAAATTGGCTACAAGTAGCGTACAATAAAAAACAATGGAAAGGAAGACTTGAAGAGGCTTATGTTCAGATGTGGAAGTGAATAGCTAGACGAAAAAGAAGAAGAAGAAACAACACGAACGGAATCTTATTTATTACATGAATTATAAGATGATAAACATGATTACTTACATTGTATGTATCAAATTTACCAAACCAAATGTTAAAACCAAATCTGACGAAGGCAGTTTTTTTATTATGTAAAACCTCAAACTCTCACATCTCCAAGTTGAGAATGTTCACAAAATGACATATTTGGGAACTGTGATAACGGACCAACTAGATCAAGACATAGAAATAAAACGTAGAATAGCAATTACTAAAACTACTTTTATGAAAATAAAGTCATTTCTTTGCAATAACCATCTCAGTTTAGAACTAAGGCAAAGAATGGTTAAATGCTATGTTTGGTCTGTAGTTCTGTATAGTGGAAAAGTGTGGATGCTAAAAGTATCGATCATGAACAAAATTGAAGCATTGGAAATGTAGGTTCATAGACGAATGCTGAAGATACCTTGGACAGCAAGAAAAACTAATGAAGAAGTACTAAGGAGCGTCAAAAAAGACATAGAACTGCTAAAGACTGTTAAACATCGAAAAATTTCTTATCTGGGACATATAGTAAGGGGAAGTCAATATAAAATTTTACAACTGATCCTTAAAGGCAAAATAGAGGGCCGTAGAGGTGTGGGAAGGAAACAAGTTTCTTGGTTAAAAAACATTCGTGAATGGACTCTGATACCAAATGCAGGACAATTATTTCATATTGCAGAAGATCGAGAAGTCTTCACAATGGTGATCGCCAACGTCGGATAATTCTGATATGGCACGCGAAGAAGAAGAATACCCGTTCTATTTAAAAACTAATCGATGACGTCACGTCTGCTAAGGTAGTGGGGGTAAAAGTTTTTTTTTCAAAAAGGTTAAAAAACAAAAATTCCGCTTGAGGTAAAGATATGTTTCTATGAATTGCTTCAGTTTATCTTTAGAATTTATTCAATCAATAACTTTTAAATCTATGCCCTTAATATTTTTATTTCTCTTTCCTTTGTCTTTCTTTAGCTGTTCGATTTTCTCATTTGCCTCAATAAGTCCCTTCTTTGGTTCTAAATTTTTCTGTTTCAATTCTCTTATACAATAGAGTGTCTTTTTTTATTCTTTACGCAGCTTTCTCATTTCGTCAATTATATCGCCATTCTTCGCCAAAAGTTCACGCATTATTTTCTTATTTACTCTATTATCGGAAAATTTTTCAATAATTTTCTCTTTCTCTTTTTAAATATCTTTATCTTTACTTTCTCCTCTATTTCTCTTTTTCTAGTTCTCTTTACCACCTCTTTTTGTATGCGTCGGTACTGTGCACTTTCTACCTATTAAAATTTATATAGTGCTACGGAAACCTGAATATTTTTGTTGAAAATTGTTTATCGCTCTTAATCACACGTCTAGCCCAAAAAGTCACCGTCCAAATCAACTTCTCAAAAGCTTTGACTTTTATCCTTACTGTGATCGAAAACACTAAATTCCCATCTGCCTTTTGGTCACCTTCTAGGTCTTTTATTTATATGTTTGAATTTGAGTACTTTCTTTATTCATTTATCTTCATTTTGTCTTAGTACATGCCCTAAAAATCTTTTCGTTATTCTTAGCTTCTTCTTCTTGTGTATCAGTCAGGCACATTTTTTCTGCAGCGTAGCTTATGACAGGTTTGATTGCTGCTTCATATATTTTCATTTGGTATTTTTGCAGATATATTTGTCATTTTTAAGTTTTTTGGTATTTGCAATATGGTCTGTTACCCTTTTACTTTTTCAGTTATCTCTGCGTTCCTGTCGTTTGAGCTGTATATTGTTACACCTAGATACTTAAATATCCCTACTTTTTGTAGAGTTCTTCGTCTTTTCTTCAATTATTTTTGGCCCTCTAAGTTTCGCTTCTTCTATCAGAGTCATGAGTTAATATTTTAACCTTTTTTTGATTTTTGACAACTGTATAACAACTGTAAAGCATTGTTTTATCTGTACATTTTGATTTTTTTTCTTTTTATATAGTTCTGTCGCTTACTGTTTTTTTATATTTATTTAGCTTTTTATCTGTTCCAATTGTTATTTCTGTCATCCATGCCTGTTTCTTCTTTGTTTTCAGCTTTGCCTTCTTCATTAAACCATTCTCGTAATATCCTTATGTCCATTTGTAAAGTGATTTTTTAAAGCCATTTTGGTTACGGTACCATCAAGGTGTTTTTTATTATCATTTAATGCTTCTTTGTCGTCTGTTCCTGCGATGGGGGTTTGGTTCTTATACCAATTACCCATTTGGTTTTTGGTTGATAATACCTTGAAGTCTCTCTCTTTAATCTTGACCCCCCAGGGGGAGTGTAGTGGTCGACGTGATGTCGTGTATTGTCCGTCTCCAGAGATCTCTGTCTCTGGTCATTTCTTTTAATTCATGCATAGGTTGTAACAATAAAACACTGAAAACTTTGTTTTCAAACTTCCACAAAATTTATTTTAAATATTATCACTACAGCTGTTTCGGCTGATTGCCTTTCTCAAGTGATCTATTTTGGTTTGGGTTTACAAATTTATAGTCTCTAATGAAAAAGGTTGAGGAGGGGAGAAATGTTTGTCTCAAGTTGGCCATTCAGAATTATATCTGTGTTTTTTAATTTGTTGATTTCCATAGATTCTAACAAAGATAGCTTAAGGCCTTTATTTTAAATGTGAAGAATTTTAAATTTATCATTAAAAGAATGATTATGATCTAAAAGGTGAAGTGCGTATGTCGAATCTGTTTTTCTATTCTTGAAAGCCCTACTTCACCTTCTAGATCATAATCATTCTTCATTATCAAGTAACGGTCGAGTCCATCAATCATGCATAGGTCTTTGGCATATTCCTGTAATTTAATCTATCCATCTTGTTGGGGATCTTCCTCGTGATCTTCGGCCTTCTACCTTTCCTTGTATTTTGAGTCTTTCCATGTTTTCTGTGTTTGCTCTCATAACATGCCCAAACTATTTTAATTGTTGGAGATGGACTTTACTAGAGAGTCGTTGGCTAACTTTTAGCTCTCTTAAAATTGTATTATTTGTTCTACGGTCGGTCCAAGGAATTCGTAACATTCGTCTCCAACAGAACATTTCAGTGGCGTCTATCTTTCTTTTCTCCGATTGTCTCAGAGTCCAAGATTCATATCCTTAGGACAGTATTGAGAATATTAAGCCGTTGATCAACCTCATCTTTATCGCTCTTGAAATTTGACATTCCTTCCATATTTTGGTCATTTTTGTTGTGGCAACTTTTGCTAAATCAAATCTACATTTAATCTCTTCTTGTAATGACCCTGTGTTTGTGATTAATGATCACAGATATAAGTATGAGCTCACAACCTCGAACCGGTCAATTGTGGTTATGTGTGGATGATTGTTGTGTAGTCTATCCACTATTATGATCTTTGTCTTTGATATGTTTAATTGCAGACCAAATATTTGACTTTCGTTTTCGATAAGTCGTATAAGTTTCATCAGCTCTGTTTGACTATTTGCAAGAAGGGCTGTGTCATCTGCGAAACGTAGGTTGTTTAGTTTATGACCATTTATTGAGATGCCCTTTTCCCATCCTTCAAGTGATCTTCGCATAATATACTCTCCATATATGTTGAATAATTGTGGAGATAGTATACATCCTTGTCTGACACTCCGTTCTGGATGAAACTCGTTCGAAAGTGTGTCAAGTACTTTAACTGATCCAGTAGTGTGTTCATATAGTTCAGTTATAAGCGTAATTATATGTTGTGGTACGCCTACTTCTTTTAGTATTCGCCATAAGTGTCTCCACTTGACCCTGTCGAACGCTTTACGGTAATCTATAAAACAGATGTATAGTGGGATGTTGAATTCCCTAGATTTCTCGATTATCTGTCTTATATTCAGCAGGTGTTCTCGAGTGCCTCTACCTTTGGTAAATCCAGTTTGCTCTTATGGAATTTCTCTTTGAAGGAATGTTTCCAGTCTCTCATTGATTATATGTAGCATTATCTTGCTGGCATGGGATATAAGAGAGATAGTTCTATAATTGTCGCATTTATGGAAGCTGCCTTTTTTATGTATGGTCGTTATTGTAGATTTTGTCCAGTCTTCAGGCCATTCTGCCTGTCTTACTTCATTTTAGAGTATATCAGGTTCTTCTTCCACCTCGTCAGAGATTTGGCTAACAAGCTCTTGGCGTTGATTATCTTTATATAGGTCCCTGCAATACGATCTCCATGTCTCTGCTATGTCTCTGTTTGTTCTCAGGGTTCCAGTGTTATCTTCAATGGCCCAAGTTTTGGCTCTGAAGTCTCTTGTCAGGTAGCGTATTTTTCTAAATAGATCTCTCGGCTGATTATTCTGACCATGTCTCTCAATTTCTTTGCATATCCTTTGATAGTACTATTTTTTGTCGGCCTTACATCTTCGTTTTATTTCTATATAGAGGTTTCTTAAACCAACTTTTTCCCTTTCACTATGTACACCACTTTTACAAAGATTTCTTCTATTCTCAATTATTTTAAGAGTTTCATCTGTTATCCAGTGTTTCCGTTTCACCGGATTATTTTTCTTTGAGCGATCCACTGGTGTTGTTATGCAACGTTTAACAGTCTCCCATATTTCTTGTGATGTTCCGTTACGAATAGAGGGCATACTTTTCTGTACTTCCTGTAGAAGGTCGTCTTTCTTTTTTAGTTCTATCCTCTTTATCTCTCTTTGTTTGTTGGGTGCTGTAGTTTAAGCATTACTTTATCTACGAGGAGAGTATGATCGGATCCGCATATCACCCCTGGATATGATCTGACTGTTTGAATGGACGATCTCCAGCGAATATTGGTGAGGACGTAATCTATTTGATTTCTTAATCTATCTCCAGGACTTTTCCAAGTATAAAGTCGACGTACATGGTGTTTAAATCGAGTATTCATGATAGAGTAGTTGTTTGTGATAGCAAATTCGATTAAACGGTCTCCTCTTTCGTTTCTCTGCCCTATGCCAAACTTTCACAGTACATTCTTTAATTCGTTATTTTGTGTAGTGTTGCCAACTTTTGCATTAAAGTCGCCACATATTATAGTAAGTTTTTTATTTGGTATGTTAGCGATTGTGGTGTCCAGATTTTCGTAAAACTCCTCGATCTTTATGTCATCTGATGTGCTGGTTGGCGCGTAAACTTGTATGATATTAAGTTTATGTGGTTTGCCATCCAGTTTAATGAGTACTATCCTATCGTTCACAGCTTTAAATTCGACAACTGACTTTTGTAATCTTGGTGAGACCAGAATGGCATCACCTGTATAGTTCTGGTTTTCACCGCCAGAGAAGTAAATAGAATTGCCATTGTCTGTTCTAAAATGGCCCTCTCCTATCCAATGAGTTTCAGCTAGTCCAGAAATTTCTATATTGTATCTTGCTAGCTCGTTTTCAATAATTGCTAGCTTACCTGTGATCGTTTTTAGCCCTTGTATATTCCATGTACCGACCTTCAATAGCTGCCTGAGTTTTACTTTATCTTTTTGTAGACCAGTAGCTGAATTTCCACACGATGCCTTTGTGTGGCCGGTGGCCAATTTTACACTACTTGACCCGGACTCAAGGTAGCGCCGGCCGTCAACCGGGCTGCGTGACAGCATCCGAGGCATTCCATTCGATGACATCACGCATAACTTTCTTGGGAATTATTGTGCAATCGTTTCCCCTGCCCTATTGCATCGCAGTATCACAACCTTTTTGCTGTTACAGCTCCGCTTGTGAAATTACAATGATAAGCCGGTTCAGGATAATTTCCTATACGCCTTAACTTGGTACTGTCGGTCGCTGACAGGTTAGATCTTGAAGTAGGTTATTCATATTATCATATTAATATTGCCGACTGCAAGACGTTTCCTTATCCGAGAGTTTGAGACGCGATCGATGGATGACAAGCTACCCAAGACTATTATTTTTTGTTAAATTTGTTTGATCACCATTAATTGTTTTTTTTATTGTTATAAACATTTTCTTGTAGTTCCATTTGTAGTATTGCTAAATATTTAAAGATAATACTCTATTTTCTAGAGAACAGTATCGGGAGCTCCTGCTAACTGGGCTGGACGTTTTTGGGGCAGAAGTTATTGTAATGACGCCACAAGCCATTGTTTGACTGGCGATTGTGGTAATAAAGTACAATGTAATGGAGCTGGAGGAGTACCACCCGTTTCTCTAGCTGAAATCACATTGAAAGGAGCTGGAGGACTTGATTTCTACGATATTTCGTTCGTTGATGGATTTAACCTCCGTATTAGTGTAAGTATACCACTTAAGAAGATACAATTTTTGAATTTGGTTTTATACCAAATACCTGAATCTGCGGACTCTGATATTGTGTTGTAATACTGTGATATTATGCATTTGCAAATTGATTATAATTCTTATTGAACGGTAAATATATAATATATGTTTATTTTGTAGTTTGAACCAGTAGGAGGCCAAGGAAATGGTGGTCAATACAGTTGCAAAAAAGCTCAATGCTCCAAAAATCTCAACGATAACTGTCCCAAAGAGCTCCAAGTAAAAGGTCCAAACGGAGTCACTATAGCGTGTAAATCAGCTTGTCTTGCCTTTAATACAGACCAGTACTGTTGTAGAGGTGCTTATGGAACCCCAGATAAATGTAAGAGTTCAACTTGGCCACGTAACTATCCCCAGGAAGTTTTTAAATCTCAATGTCCAGATGGTTACAGCTATGCTTACGACGATCACAAGAGTACCTTTACTTGCAAGGCTCCGAAGTATATTGTAACATTTGGTGCTTAAAGACATAGCTTAAGACTGTTTTTTTGTGATTTCTAAATAAAATTCTAAGTAATTTTTCATTATTATTATCTTATTTATTCAAAAGATGTAAAGCTAGTTCCTTTTTTTTAACTTTCCATTTATTGACAATCTGTAATAAGGATTGCAATCAGTAAATTGTTTAAATGGATTACAAAAGACTTGCAGGAAAATGTCCAGTGAAAATAACCTATTAAATCATAATCTTAGTAACAAAATTATTTGTGACTCTAATATAATGTTTATAATAATTTAAAAAAATTTAATTTAAAAATTTAAAATCTTGTTGGTAGATCACTTAGAGTAAGACGCTTTAGTCTTCTGTTTACCTGGGGCCTCAGAAGGTTCTCCGCTAGCCTATTGGGGTGGTTTTGCAGTCGTCTGTCATATTTTTAAGAGTAACTGTTTTTATCTGAAGATCGCGATTGATAAATTCTTTGAGCAGGTACCACGGTGTATTTGTAATAATGCGGAAAGTCTTCGATTGGAATCTCTCCAGTATGTCGATATTGGATTTTAACGCAGATCCCCACAGTTGAATCACTTAGCTCCATATTAGCTTTATCACTGACTTGTATACTAAAATTTTATTGTACAAATTCAGTTGTAATCTTTTTACTATTAGCCAGTACATTTTACTGAATTTCAGACCCAACTGTTCGTGAATATGTGTTTCTTCCACGTTAGTCTGCGGTCCAAGTGTATACTTAAGTATTTTACGTCATCTTTTTGTTGTAGTATTTGGTTATTTATTGAAACGGTTGGTCATGTACCTTTTCCATTAGTGAACGTTATATGTACTAACTTGCTTTCGTTAACTGTAACTCGCTATGTTTGTAACCAAATCTTTATTTTCTCGAGATTGGTCTGAAGCAGTTGTGAGGCAATATACGGGTTTAAGTGAGCCGCAAGGCTCACATTCGGAAAAGAAAATCTAGTCAGATATATAAAGGCCAATAGACTCAGATGGGCAGGACATGTGATACGTAGTAACGACAATCGCCTTATAAACAATGTGTTCTGGCCAGATGAAAAAAGGTCTGTATTCTGCATCAGGGTTAATGTTTTGAGTATGTAGTTGCAACACTTTTTCCAGGTATTTCGCAAGGACTGTGGCATTTTTTTTTGTTACTTTTGACCCATTGTCCGTTACTGGCCCGGATAGGCGAATTAGAAAGTTGTGGTCGACTAATTTTTCGTGTTGTCTTCCATAGTGAGTATTTGGAGGCTTCCGCGGTAGATAGATTTTGTAAATATCGTTTTATGTCATGTTTTTATTGTTGTTTAACAATGTTTAATCTATTTTTATCCTGAGGTGCTCAGGTTCTTTGCCAGATTTTCCTTCTTCGTTTTTCTGCGATTTTTTCTTTTATTTCGTTGGGTAAGTCTTTTTGTACGATTGCTTTTGTTTGTGTAGGTGTTGACTGCCAGCCAGCTTTCTGAATTATCCTATTTAATTGATCTACTGCTTCGTTAATATCGCCATTAGATTTTAGTGGGATGTTTGGATCCAGTCTGCCATCAAAAATAGCAGAGAATTTAATCCAATAGGTATATTTATTATTAAGATATGGCTGAGATTCTGTTTCTAGAATATTTGTGAATATTGTGACCAAGACAGAAAAGTGGTCGGAAAAGCTAGTTCTAAATACATGTTCTTTATTTTTTTTTACATATATTTTTAAAATGCCCATGTACTTCAAAACGCAGAATAAAAAATTTGTCATCACGAACAACAAAGCACAGAGTGAGAGCGATACATGAGTAAATTTGTAACGATGCTTTTCGAGGAAATATTGCACATATACATATTACCTAGGATAGACAGTCAGACAGAGATTCCAGTATACCGAAATAAAGTCAGAAAAACAATAAAGCAAACCAAAAATAATAAAGCCCTTCGATAAGATCAAATCCTTGTTGAGCTACTCAAACTTTTGGACATTACCTTATTAACCACTTTTTTTAACAAAATTTACAATGAAAGAAAATTATCAGATAATTGGTTGGATTTTCTGTGTAATACATTATCAAAAAAAGCAAGTTCACCAAATGCAGCAACGTTCGACTAATCAGTTTAATGAACCACATACTTCAGTTACTTTTATGAATAATGCAAAACCGAGTACTCCTTCTGTGTGAACGTAGAATGCGTAATAAGCAGTTTGGATTTAGAAATGGTCTAGGAACTAAAAGGGCACTTTTGACTATGTACATTCTATTACAAAAAATTGGTTGAAAGAACATTTATATTTTTCAGCTAAAATTAGAAAATTCCTGCAATCGCCAGATATAGATATGTGTTAAGCTGCAGAAGAAGTTTCAAGCTTAACGCTTGCATTGGAAGAATTAAGGATCGAACCATCTATACTTGATAATATGTATTCCAATGTATTCATTCCTACTCCAAGAAAATGTTAAGTTTCTACTAAATTAGATAATAATGCTGGAAATGCTTTAACAGTCAACGATAAAAAAACAGTAAAATTATTTGTATTTTATTTGCTTTTAGACCGAAGTCTAAATATCCGAAAGTCAGAACATTTTGATTTGAATTCTGCAGAATTAGAAGCTGAACTAAAACTTTTAAAAACAACAAAGAAGATTGACTACAACGACCTCAAGATCATATCAAATTTTTACTATAAACAGCGAGAAAAAGTACGTGTTAACGAACAGCTGTAATAAGAAATTAAAATAAGACGTGGAGTGAGACAGGGATGCATATTGTCGCCAATTCTTTTTTTTGCGTACTCTGAAGAGATCCTGAAAGAAGCTCTTGAGAGTGAAACAGCTGGAATAAAGGTAAATGGAGTTCACATTAACATTAATAAATATGTGGACGACAATGTGATCTTAGCCGAAAATATTGAAGATCTTCGGAAAATGGTGACAAGAATAGCGGATGGAAAAGAGTACGGTCTAACAATGAACATCAAGAAGAAGAAATTTATAAGAATATCGAAAACTCAAAGAAATAACGAGAATCTTCTAATAAACGGAACCAACGTCGAAGAAGTGGACAAATATGCATATCTGTTAGCAATGATTAACTCCACAAATGGTTACATTTAGGAGATGAATATCAAAATAGAAATAAATTTCAACAAAATAAGAAGAGTGATATGTACAAGTGATTTAACATTGGAACTAAGAGTTAGGTTTTCGAGGTGTTATGTTTTTTAGACTTTGTTTTATGGAATGGAACCTTGGACCTTGAATGCGACATCAATGAAAAAATTTTAATCATTTAAGCTGTGGGCGTATAGAAGAATTCTGAAAATATCGTGGACAAAATACGTCATAAACAAATAGGTACTGAGAAGGATGAATAAAGAAAATGAAATTTTAAATACAATTAAAACAAGAAAATTGGAATATCTCGGACATATTATACATGGAGAGAAATACACCTTGCTCCAACTAATTATGCAGGGAAAGATTCAAAAAAAGATAAGCATAGAAGGCGTAGAATGTCATGCCTGCGCAAATTGAGAGAGTGGTACGGCTATGGATATACATCAAATAAACTTTTTATCCGAATAGCTATGATGATTGCTGACTTCCACCACGGAGATGGCACCTGAAAGAGAAGATATATATATATATATATATATAATATATATATATATATATATATATATATATATATATATATATATATATATATAGTAAAGTCTTAAATATTGGGGAAATCTGCAAGAAAAACTTTAATGTGTATCAATTGTTTCGCCTAACGTTTTCGCCAAAGAGAATTAATTTGGCTTCTTCAGGGCTGAAAGAGAATAAATTATAATTAGCTACCATATATTATCTAACAAAAAACATTTACCTTACCGTAAATTTTAGAAATGTCGAGTTATGATGTTAAAAAACTTTAGCTAGTAACAACATGGTGGTGTTTTTTTTTGTTACTATGTGCAAAAAAGTTAGTTTTGTTAAAGTTGGAAATGTATGGTAGCTTTGAACTTAAAACGCAAAGGTTTACTCAAGGTTAATCGAAAAACCCAATGTAACTACATTTGAAGGAAGTAATTCTTTGAATTGTCGGCCATAACTAAATTTTTGATTGTTGTAAAGTTTGAATGTGAGCTTCTGTTTTCACAGAACGCAAGCGCTGATAATTAAAAGTAGTGCTTTTGAATATTTATGTCGTTAAGGTTCATTGGTAAAACCGATGGAGTTAGATCCCAGTCTGGGGAGATATTAGTTTAGAATTTTCTTAATTGAAATTCTTTTTTAATTAGTATATTGTTCATGTATTATTATAATAATATCTTATTGAGATGTATCTAAGAAAAGCAAGGGAATGTTATCTTTTTTAGTTAATGAAAATTATTATTAAAGTAGGTTAGCTGTTAATAGATATATCAGTCAAATTAGTTATTTGTGATGTTGTATTTTTGTTGGTATCTGATTTAAGTAAGAAGTGGTATATATCGCTTAGATTCTTAATGTCACTCTTAACATTGATGGAAAAATCGTTAAGGAAAATATAAGACATTTCAATGAACTCTCTTTTAGATTTATTGTTCTCACGGTGGAGAATTGTAGTGTTCGTATAGTCCATGTGATGACCAGTGGAATGGACATGTTTGACTAATGCACAGCAGTCAGGGTGAAGTCGAGAATCACTTTTGTGTAGTGTAATACGTGATTTCAATAATTGAGATGTTTAGCCGATGTAGGAATTGCTGCAAGAGAGGCATGGAATGTTGTAGACAATATTACTAAGCCTATCTATGGGAGTCTTATCTTTTATCTTCGAATAAAGATTATTAGTTTTTAGGGCTGATCTACAAGCCACATTAAGTTTAATGTTATTATTATTATTCCCAAAGCTATTTTCAAAACTTTTTTAGAATCCTTGTTAACCCCGGAGTGATATCTCTGAAATAGGGTAATGAAAAATATTTATTGATAGGAGTATCCGAGACTGGGTTCCGACTTAAGACATCAGGATCAGCATTGTTAGTCACGATGGTAGGTGAAATATCTTCGTTATGGGTAGTGTTAAACAAAATCTTATTTACTAATGGTGTTGGAT